TGCGCTTCGGGTGGAGGCCGTCGAGCGCGGAAGAGGTGAACTGGCGAGACCTGCGAGAAGCCAACCGAATCTCATCAGGAGTAACCCTGGGCAGACAATCTCGATCTGTCGCATGTGCTCGCGGAAGCGTGAGCGATGCACTCCGCTGCTCCTGCGGAGATTCCACATCCGAGTTGAGCGCCGCCTCTGGACTGCCGGAGTATATGCTGGTGCCTTTCTCCACGACGCTAGGGCGCCATATCTTCTGCAAGCGCGTTATCTCGCGCGCGAGCTAGGCCGATCCTTCGCGCGCCTGGTCGCGCCATTCGCACCAAGACTGCTGTCGTGACTTCGAGAGCTCCTTCGTCGCAGCCTCAAATTCTACGACTAATTGCTCGCCGCATTGCGTCGCGGAGTTCCACCGCGGGCGAGGGCGCTCTTCAGGGCGATCCCGAACGAGCTTGCGCGGGGCCCCAACGTGCGAACCCCGAGCGCGCATCGAGCCCGACGCTGGAGTAGCTCTCCACCACAGCCGTATTCTTCAGAAAGTGCTGCCGGATCATCATGCAGCTCTGGCTTCTGCTTTGACATCATCTCAAATTCATGCCAAGCGCGATAGAGCCACTGCCGACCTCGAGCCGCGCGGACGGGGTCTCGCGCGTGATCTTCGCGCCCCGAGGCAGATGCCCACTGTCGAGCAATATGGTTGTGTCGAGTGAGCTTCTTTATCGGGAAGTCGAGCACTGCGACAGTCTCCATCTCAGAATCCTCAACCAAAACCATCCATGCCTGATTGAGACGTGCCCAGGCCTCGCCAACCGAATCGTGCTGCGTCGAAAAAGGCTGCCTCGTCAGCCATCTGCCTGCCTGCCACGTAGCTGGGGGGGGGGGGGGGTCCAGGGCGAGGGCCGAAAGAAGGAAGGGCCGGAAATAGTGTGTGAGCGCAAAATACCAGCTGTCGGGGAAAGACTGCATCAGGTCGTAAGTGTAGTCGCACATGCTTATGCGGTCCACCGTGCCACTGGGAAAAAAGACCCGCACCTCATCAGCCACTCGCGCGATATCGTGAGATTCCACGCAGAAATCTCTCGCACTGGCCGAGGGATACATCACACACGTATTACGTACAGGAACGAGCGTGGCGGGGTCAGCTTGGCGCGTGAAGCCGCACTGCTCGATGGAGGCAGGCTCAACATTCCAATCAGCACCAGCCAGGACAAAACCAGTTGAGCGCATGACTGACCCCCCCAAAAAAAAGAAAGAGATAATCTTCATGCTAGCACCGTCCAAGCCCACACTGTCGTGCAAGTGTGCTGGATATACCACGAGCCCTGGCCATCCCGGAATGTCAACTGTAGCTGAGATGAGACGTCCTTTGACCAACTCGCCTCCAATAGGATTCCATATGGATCCAATATGCTGTCGAGCAAAAGTGGCCACGCCTGCATAATGTGAGCCACGGGTGCAGCATTATGATGGACTGCGCAACGTTCGATATCCCAGAGTGCGCGCAGCACGTTGTAGGTATGCCACCGATTCAGGGCCAATGCCAATCTCTTGAGCACATACTATGCCTGAGTTCGTACTTCGTAGTCGCTCGAGACGGGTCGTACGACAATTATGACATTTTCCAAAACAAATGTTGGTCCGCGTCCACATCAGTAGCACACCGTCCTATATGCTGCGGGGCGGTATGGCCAGCTCTTGAAACTGGGAGTCCATTCGGATATGGGGAGGTCAGGAAGACGCTTTTCTAGCGTTCTCGCCCGTGTGCTTGAGCAGGTCGTCGACGTCGTCCGTGGAAAATGCATCATACTGCGTACCTGCGGCGTGTCATCATCATCGTCATCATCATCACCATCATCAGCATCATCAGCATCACCGCCATCGGTCTCGGTATCATTCGAGCCGTCCGTTGCCCCGCCAGAAGAGCCAGCAGGAACCGAGGGCGTGGTCCTTAATATCGTCATTGCCTTCCGCCTGCAGAACCTCAGGAGGCAGCTCGAACTTGGTTTCAACTGCGGGTGTGGCAGCGTCAGACGGCATGGTGCGTCGCAGCTCCTCCTGCAACGCGGCCACCTCCCGCTTGATAGCCTCCTCTTCCTGCTACAGCTCCTGGAGTGAACGTTGGGCACTCTCAGTGAGCTCCCTTTGTGTTGCAACGGCCTCGGTCGCCATCGACTGCTTCGTTTACGCAGTGTGCAGGCGGAAGGCTGCATTCGTATGCTGCTGCTGCAAGACAGGTTTGGCATCTCGCTGGACCTTGACAGCATCTCGAAATTGAGTCTCGAGGCGCTGCTTGGCTGGGTCGTCGGCAAAGACATCACCAAGCTGTCGGAGAGCCTTTCATGGGACTCGAGTCGCGTACCTCGCTGCCCCTGCTCATCATCATCATCATCAGCATCATCATCATGATCATGATCATCATCAGCAGCATCAGCAGCAGCAGCAGCGCCATCAGTAGTAGGTGCCGGACCAGCATTGCGGCCAGCCTTCGGGCCCTCGAGAACCTGGAACTTCTGATCGATCTTCTCCTTGTGCGCCGCTGGAAAAGAGGGGAGAGGGGAGAGGGCCCGTAGAGCAGACGGGTCTGCCCCAGCTCGACGCCGGGCCGCGTGCTCCGTTCAGTCGTGCCTTCAGTTGTCGCTCCAACGTTTTCGCTGGTGTCCAACGTGCCGTGGAGCATGTACATAGTGCCACGGATGCCACTCCAGGAGCCTCTTGCTCCATCGCCCATCGGTCGTCGGCCCGCTGGAGAAGACGGGGGCCGTTCGCCCATCGTCCCTTCGGCGCTCGCGCCGTGGATGGGGTGGGCCGCTGGGCCTACTCTCTCTCGTTCTTGCAGGCTGCTTGGGCCACACGTGTAGAGTCGGGGCCTTGACCTAAGGAACCCTAAATAAGGAACGAGGCCCCTTTTTCACCATCAGTTAAACTTCGATTTCCGATCGAACACATAAGGAAAACCTGAGGCAAGCTGCGAAACACTTAAGGAACGCGGAGCCCCTCCCCAACGAAAAGGGTTCCTTCTTCAGGGCCCCAACTGTAGGAGCAGCAGCGCCACAGAGACACTGGATACAAGCCAAATTCGCTGTGCGAGAACACTGCGAGCAAGACCAGAGAGGCAGCCGAGCGCCTCGGGGCACAGAACCATCCCCAGTCATGCGGCTGGCAACCGTGGGACAGTCTGAGCAGATCGCGTACAACCTTTGGCCCGACGAGGCAGGCAGTTCTGAAGTTTGCCTCGCCAAGCTCAGGAAATCACCTGAGCCAGAACGGCTCAGGAGAGAGGGATGAGAAGGAGGAGGAGGAAGTCAGGGGAAGGAGAGAGGAGGAGCTTGCCCAAACCACTGCAGCACGCTTCGCGGCACTCGACAAGACGGGGTGAATCCGCCACCGCGCTTCGCAGCGGGTTGCGTGCATCGGGCTTCTTGCCTCATCCAATTACTCGCCGCGCCCTGCGAAGCAGCACCTGGGCACTCTCGGCGCGCCGAGCCCGGCCTGCGCCCGCTCGCTGGCCCCGGGCCGCAGGAGACGCCGTTGGCCTCGTCCGCGCAGCGCGAAACAAGCGCAGTCTTCTGGTGGCGTCTGCCACGCCCCGAGGACTGGAGGAACGAACAGCTGCATGCGTACACACAAACTGTCGGAGGTCCGCGCGGAGTTCTTGAGCCAGCGCTGCACAACCCCTCCCTGGCGTGCGGAGCGCGCAGGGGGCGGCGCAGGAGGCGCCAGGGGGGACCCAAGCGCCGACCCGAAAAGTCCGGGCGGACCTCCGAACACTCATGTTAATGTAGTTGTTTTGAGGGGCAACGATAGGGGGGGATAGGCCCAGGGGGGGGGGTGCATCGACGTGGAATCGGCGATAGGTCCCAGCCCCCGCCCGGCGGCGGCGGCGGCGGCTGAGCCTCGAAGCTTGACAGGACACCCTTTAACAGAGCGCCCTTCCAGAGAAAGCTGCCACGAGCACTCCACCTGCGCACGGCGCCACATTCTGAGTGGACTCTGGCGGGGAAGCTAATCGACGTCCAAGAACAAGCGAAGGTATCAGGGGAAACGCGCGTCGATTAGCGAAAACGACTGGGAAATGCACCCAGTGCCGAGTGAACCGGTGCAGATTTCCTTCGTCGACTTACATTGGTGGGCGTTTTCTCAATGCCCGAGGGGCCTTCGAAGAAGAAACTGGCGGCGAGGCCGAAACCAGCTGCATGCAGCAGATGCCGTAACCCATTGTCAATCAACACCGAATCGAGAAATCGGATCGAACCGAAATCTTCGCCAGATCGTGCTGCATCGGCACGGAGTCAGAACCGAATCGGATCGGCTGCGCCATGATGCACAACGGCACCACGCACACATCGGGCCGCAGCGGATTGTCGGGAAAATTGGAATCGGATCGACTGAGCCGGACAGAATCGGTATCGAATCGGATCGATCGAAGCGAAGTGGACCCTGCAACCCCTCCTTTCCCCACCCCCGCCTCGTAGGAGCGGGCAGCCCCCGCCCAGCCCCATCCCAGGGGGCGCGCGGGCGGAGACACGCGCGGCAGCGCAGGCGGGCTGGTCCCTGCTCAGAGGCCAGGCGCCCCGGATGCCTCAAAACGGGGGGCTCCGGCCACGCAAGTCTGGCGCCAGCCCTGCGTCAGGCTGCAATTAGAAACCCAACTTCTGGGGATTCCGCCGTAGAGCGGAGATCCGAAAAATCACGCAGAGGAAACCGGGAAGAAGAGTTACAGCACAGCAGACACGTGCAATGCAGGAAGGCATGCTGCAAGAACTGTTGGGGCACCCTCTTCGTCGACCTTGTGAGTGTCCTAAGGTGCTCCAGAGGTCCTGCGGGTCCCGGGGCCATCGTGGGATCAGAAATTCCCATGGGGTGCACCTGCTGGCAGGCTGGTTTCTTCTTTGATGCGCCTACTGTATCGGCGCTGCCGCAGACGAGAGCTGTCATGACCTATGTCTCAACATGCCAGCGAATCATCTGCAGCCATATGCGTATTCCAGTGCTGACGGCCTTTACTGACTCGTTCAGGCGGAGGCGTACTCGTCGTCCTCCACCCACTCGTCCACCATAGACTGCCCCGTGTCGCTGTCGCCCTGGTCCGTGTCCTTGATCTCACCGACAATCATGCCATTCGAGTCGTAGATGAGGCCAGTCTTCTTCTTCATTCTTTTGGTCAAGTGTGGGTTGACCTGCATCATGTACTCCTGCCACACCATCGGCTTCAGGTCAGGATGGGGGGTCTTGTTGAAACTGGTTGGCTTTATCGAGAGGCTCCCGCCTTCGTTTGTCAGCGTCAAGAAGGCTCCCTGGTTGCCGCCAGCGTCCATGTAGTCAGGGCAACTGAAGACGGTGTACAACTGCGGGTGGTCCTGCTTCCAGCCGAGCTGCTTAACCTCGTGGGAGCGGATCACGGCCTTCAGGCCGTTGACTTTGCAGAACTGCTCCGTGACGTCGGGGCCGAACATGAACACGCCCTTGGACTTGCGGTAGGATGGCCCATAGCCGGGGCCGCCCCGCGGGTCGCCCCAGACTAGGTCGATGATCGTGCGCTCCTCTTCGGCCCACTTGTCCGCGGCGTCGCCCACGGCGTTCTTGTAGCTCGAGTCCTGGAGCTCTGTCTCGCGGCTGATAGCCGCAATGTCCGCCAGCGTCATGCACTTCGCGTTCACGGGGATGGCGTCCTCGGGGTCGTGGCTCTGGCCCGGGAGCCACTGCCTCGGGTTGGGCCCCGGGAGGCCGGCGTGCATGACGAAGACCTCCTTGTTGATCGTGTGGCAGAGGCTCAGGCTGCGGAACGACTCAGAGAAGAGGTCGAAGAGACCGCCATCGTACTTCTTGAAAGTCTCGCCGCAGAAGCCGTACAGAAGGTTCTCTGCGATGATCTCGTGGTTTCCGCGCGTCAGGTGAACGCTGCCAGGGCACATTACCTTGAAGGCATAGATCATCAACACCACCTCCATACCCCAAGAACCCCGATCGACGAAATCGCCATTGAAAAGGATCGGGTTGGTAGCAGACGGGAAGCCGGTGAGAGACAACATGTGCAGGAAATCCCAGTACTGGCCGTGAGTGTCCCCGACAACATGGATCGTCTGACCGGCAGGCACATTGATCTCGTTTCTGCGGACCGCCGCTTGCCGGTGGTGAGGGGGCGTGTGAGTTGGTTGGCCGCGCCCTGCCCCTGGTCCTTGGCTCCAGCGTGGCCACATGTGCTCAGGATGTCTCCAAGAAGCCCTGAGTCAAGAAGGCCCCAGGATGCTAACTACCAGAGGCTTCAAGATACTTCTGCTGGGGGGTGGACGGGGGGCAAGAGCCGCAAAACATTGAAACAACTTGGGCGCTTCAAATACATTATCTAATTGGTTTCTTCTTCTACGCATTGGCTCAGCATGGCCCGAGTATGGGCTCTGGATCCCTCTGGGGAGATCTAACGTGCCGTCCAGAGCATCAAGATATCCCACCATTCCCCCAAGATGATCCCAAGATTGCCTCCAAGGCCCCCAACTGGCCTCTGAGGTGGCCTCTGAGACGGTTCCAAGACTGGCCCAAGAAAGCCCCAGTGCCCTCCAAAATTTCCCCAAGGCCTCCCAACGGACACCACGTTGGCCCCAAGAGGGGCCCTATTAAAACCACGATGGGCCCAAGAAGCCCCCACGAGATCCCGAGGAGCGCCCACAGAGGGGCCCGAGTGTTCGCTCTTACTCGTGTCGAGTATACTCCCAAACACGCGCTGACAGGGTTATACGTCGTTCATTTCTAATCGTGCTCATTTCTAATTGTGGTCGTCTCTGGATGTTCCTGGCCCCCTATTGGCCAGGAAGAGGCCCAGGATAGAAGAATTAGAAATGAAAGGATCCTGGCCCCCAAACAAATCAAAGAACTCTCGAATAATTAGAAATAAACCATGTGTATGTGCGTGCGTGCTGATTGCACCCTGGGGGCCCACTGGCTCACGAACATGTGTCTCCAATTGCTGGCAGCACCAACCTGTAAGAACAATACTGCTCATTTGAGGTGCATGCTTTCACCGCCTTCCGACGCTTTCAGTCCTCGTGACGGTCAGCCTCCTAAAAGTATTCCTCCTCCTTTTCCTCCTCCTCCTCCTCCTAATCGTCGTCTTCCTCCTCTGCCTGATTCCCCTTGTCTTCTTCATCGTTCCACTCCTCCTCCTCTTAATTCTCCTTCTCCTCATCTTCCTTCTCCTACTGTTCCCCCCCCGCGACGCACTCGTCCCCCTCCTTCGTTTTTACATCTTCTTTGTCGTCATGTTATCTCGCTCCCTCTTCCTACCCATATTCCTTCTACTCCCTCCCATCCGCCGCCCGACACCACCTCGTCCATCCCGTTCTCGGCCTCCTCGCCCCGCAGATTGCGAACGCAAGCTGTTTATGGACTTGCGTTCTCCTTCTGTCGTTTCGTTTCGCTTCCGTCAATCAGGATGTACCACCCAAGGCCCGACGGCGCACATAGTACTCAGAGTGCACGACAGAAACGCAAATTATCAGAGTTTACGACGTTATTCAAGCCACGCTCGCTGACCATCCCTCCAGCCTCGCTGTCAGTAGTGTAGGGCGAGCCTATATTGGCCGTAATCTGCCGGCCCCTTTGTGGGGCCACGAAACTGTAGAACGAACCTGTTGCTCACCGCACCAGTTGCAGTTCCAAATTGTCAATGTCACAATTCTGCTTTCTGCTTGATGTTGTAAATTGTCGAAGTCCGCGCGATGGGGGGGAGCCCGAAAGGATCCAATCGACCACTCCCGGATCGCGTGCTCTGAATTCCCGGGGGGGCGTGGGACACGTAGTAATACTTGAGACTCGCGCCTCCGAAGCCATAGTCCCTCGTAAATTACGCAATACCCGCGTCCCCGAGGCCAGAAACCCTAGTAAATGAATAAATGATTGCGTCCCAGAGGCAACAAAACCTGGCAAAGTACACGATCTTCTCGTCCACGAAGCCATAAGCAGTCGCACAGTACGCCGTCATCGCATTGCCGAGACCGAAAGTGCTCCAAGGCGCCCGAAGATGGTTCCAAGATGGCCCATGAAGGCCCGAAAAAGCCCCAAGAGCGCTCCAAGAGGCCCCCCGAGAGAGCCCCAAGAAGCCCAAATACTCCGAAACTGTTTCCAGGATTTGGGTCTTCTCGCAGTTTCGGCTTCCCGACGTCCCAAGACAACCCAAGAAGCTCCCCAAACCGCCCCCGGACAGCCCAAACGCCTCCAAGAGGGCCCCAAGACAGCCCGACAGGGCTCCAAAATGGCCCAATAAGCTCTCAAGACGGCCCAAGAGGGCACCAACAGGGGCCCAAGCAGGGGGGCACGGACCGAACACTCGATATTTGTGTCCCGAAAAACTTGCAAGGGCCCCCCAAAGGCGCCCAAGACGCGTCCACGAGGCCTCCGAGAGGCCCAAAGGATACCCCACGAGACCCTAAGAGGCCCCCAAAAGGCGCCCAAGCCGCCTCCAAGAGGCCCTCTTGGGACTCCCCACGACACCCCAGCACGTGTGAACACTAGGAGCCGCTCCGTGCCAAGGGACAAACATTTTTCGACCACAGCTTCGGCCAGGCTACAGGGGACGAGCGGCGAGAGCGGTTGCGAGAGATCGCGAGAGAGCCGACTCGACGCCTCAAAACCCCTTGCTGGGTTGAGGAGGTAGTCGAAAGGAGAAGGTGGCAGAAGGGGTTGGATGGAGGGCGCCGCAAAAAACTTGAGCCCACATGGCCCGCGGTACTTCCAACTCCCCAAGTCATTCACGCGCAGGCACTAAACATGAACCCTAGGAGCCTCTCCGTGCCGAGGGACAGGCCTGCGCGAAGCGCAATCGATATCCACAAGCGTTTTTCGACAGCAGCTTCGGCCAGGCTACAGGGAACGAGCGGCGAGAGCGGTTGCGAGAGATCGCGAGGGAGCCGACTCGACGCCTCAAAACCCCTACCCATTGACAAAGAGTGTCTTGGCCTTGGCCACAAAGAGACGCGCCAGCGCCATACACAAATCAACTGGATACGGGCATGCTCTCGTGGTCCAGAAAACTCCATTGGGATCTTTACCCTGCAAAACAATGTGCCTCTTTCCGGAAGCGCTACACCTACCGTTCTGACAAGCGCAGCGCTTGACCTGATCCTGCACCAGAGGCCAATTCAACATAACGAAAACGGCTGTTTTACGCCATGGGGCGCCATGCTGACAGAAATCGACTTGGACCCTCTCGCCGCCTGCAACATCAATGACCTCACAGAGCTCCGGGACACGCCAAAAGCGGGGGGTGGAGGGATTCTCCAAAGAAAAAAAAATCCTGCGAGCAGACAGGCGCCCAGAAGAATCCGCACATTGAAGAGTAAGAGATTAGCTTCAACCAGCTTACGCCTATCTAGAGCACTGAGCTGGGGAAGGCCCCAGATATCTTGGTCACTTCTCACGGGGGGAGGCCCGCGTCCGTCGTTCTTACGAGCACGAGACCAAGTCCTGCAGTCTAGACCGACGTGGACTCCCCCCACTTCATTATCCAGAATACTGCGCTCGGGGCGGACGATCACGGCGGGGTCGCTGAGGTCAGCGGCCTCCCCGTCCTCGCGGTCCCAGCCCTGCGCAGCCCACCCGGCGGCGGCGACGGCGCTGGCCAGGCGAGCGGACCCACGCGTGAGCTCGAGGAAAGGCCCGGCGAGCGAGGCAGGCTGGACTCCGCGCGTGAAGAGGTGAGGCGGGGGCCTCGGCTCCTCTCGGCGCCCCTCGGAGCTCGGCGGGCCGCCCGTGGCTTCCGCGGGGGCGCCGCAGGCGCGGGATGCCAGCTGAGCGCCAGCGTCAGGGCTCGCTCGAGCTGGCTGGGCGCCGCGTCGACAACGCGGCGCGCGCTGCCCTCTAGCTCCGTGAGCTCCTGCTGCGCCGGCGCGTGAGCCTCGTAGCGCTTCGTGCTGTGGTCGGAGGCCCAGCGACCTCTGTCCCTGATCTCGGTCAGCGACCCGCGGCGGCAAAGCCTGTCGTGAGACGGCCCTCCGTGCCTCAACTGGCATGGCACGCAGTGGCGGCCTATCCGAGCGAACGCCAACGCGCGCCTCCACGGCCGCCCCAGCTCCGGAGCGTCCGCGCGGAAGAGCATCGCGGAGGGGTTGCCCGTCAGGCACCTCGCGACGAGCGGCCCCAGCCACGGCACCTCGACCGAGTCGAGGAGGATGCTCTCGTCGGCTAGCCCCACTTCGCTGCTCCCATCCCTCACCGAGGGATGCAGGTTGAAGCCGCAGTGCTTGCGCGAGCCGCTGGGGAGGAAGACGTCCTGCTCTCGGAGCCCTAAGGCTTCGCTTGGTCTGAGGTACGCCTAAAACATCACCGCTATCATGGGCCCGACCTTCGGGGAACCAAGGTCACAGGCCGCCGTCCTGGCCAGCAAAGCGGCGACTTGTCAAGGGATGGGGGGCCGAGTCTGTCCTGGACCACGCCGCCTCCAGCTTTGGAGCGTCCTCGAGAACCGCGGCAAGCAGAGGGGGCCCTTTCGGGAAAAGTCGGGGCGCTCCGAGATAAAGGCGGCATATGTCTTCAGCAGATCGGCCCTCTCCAGCCCGATGCTCCACGCGTAGTCGGCGTAGCTCGTGAGCGCGAAGTCGGCGTCCGTCGCGGTGACTAGCGCGAGGCCGCGCGAGCTGGCGAACCGACGGAACTCTGTCAGGGCCTCCTTGTAGTAGGCCTGCGTCTGCGGGGCCACCGCGTTCCACTCCGGGAAACCCTTGTCGCCCTCGTCGAGGATCCGAAAAAGGGCCCGACGACTCCTGTCTCTTCGCGCTCCTCTCTGCCCTGGTCGCGCCGACAAGCGGTCGGCCCTTCAGGGAGTCCTTCCTGGCGAGGCGGCTGCTCGCCGCGGGGCGCTTGGCCGCTGCCGGCCTGAGGTGTCGGGCCACATTTTCTCGGCCCCCAGCGCCCCGACCCCCCATCGGCGACGTTCCGCTCTGAGGGGGTCCAGCGATGCTCGAACTTTGAACCAGTGGCCACAGAGGAGCGCAGCCTCGCGACGACAGCACACCAGCAGAGGATAAGCTGAACACCTGCC